GAACCTGAGAGTTAGCAGTGTCAGCTACCCTCCTCTTGGGTGAAGGAGGGCAGTTTAAAAATACCAGTGTAAGTATCTTTGAGGTGGTGTTACACTTCCCTATAGTAAGCCCATGGAGGAAGTAATATAAGAGATATTATCCCCATTTTACAGTTGAAGAAACAACATTTCAAAATGTTATGTGACTTTTGTGGTCAATCAACTAATGTTATGATTCAAAATCATGTCTCCTAAATCCAGTTTCAGTGTACTGAATTTATCTCATTCTACTAGATTAGATGCTCCTTTTGGGCAAACACTATGTCATTTTTCATTTTCATATCTGGAGTGTGGAGCATAGATGTTTTTAATGATTTTTGCTTTAGAATTCATTAGGAGGATTGTTAGAACACTCATACTATACTTTCCCTCATGACTTTAATTTTTTGTATAACTCACAGAAATTTCAGACTAATGATTTTGGTCATTAAGCAAAAATATAAACATACTTAGCCTATCAAAACATTTTCAAGCTGCACTTAATTTTGTTTATAACTGTTGGAATGAAAAATCCAGAGAGTATATTCTTTTATATTTAAATTTAAATTATGGTTCTCTCATATTCATCTTTTTTTTATTTGTGTGGGTAACTCTAAGGGATGAAACAATATCAATTAATATCAGCAACTGCCTTGCAACTTATGATCTTAGAAAGGTTATGTGACTTCCCTAGTATGACACAACTAGGATATGGCAGAGCTATAACTTGAACCCTTCAGGTTTTCCTGACTCTCAGGCTAACTCTCCACCCTCTATATCATGTTACTTCTCATAAGTTAGCTTTAAGATCTATAAATCTTCACATTTACACATTTTATTTTTAATCCAAAAATTAAATTTTTAGACACAAGAAAAGTTAAATAATTTTAGAAATTTCTATCTACCTTTTTGGTGGATTGCAAATTGAGTTTTGCCCTCTTTTGCCCTTACACAGAAATCGCTTAGAATGCATCTAAAAGTTGTGTGATGGCACTGAAGGAACACAATTTCTTTTTTGTATTGCTTCTGAAACTTCAGGAGAAAAGATCCACATGTCTCCCTCTATGGGGATAGTACCCTCAGTTCTTCATTAGCCATTAGCATCTGTCTGGCCCCTCACTCTCCTTCCAGTGTGAATTTAGGGTTTATGCATACTGGGAGCAATTTAAAAGGATCTGTGAAATTAGATGGGGAAAACCGCATTTTTATTTCAATATAATGAATTTCCTTTAAAATTCTATATATTCTATTTTATGCATTTAAAAACATTATTATTCTGAGAACTCCTTAGCTTTCACCAGATTGCTAGAAGGGTCTATTACACACACACAAAAAGGATTAAGAACCCCTGTAATAAACCTTATATACGTTTCAATACTGATCTCACCCCAAATCTCAACTTGGCTTATTAACCCCAGTTAATGGTCTAGATTCTTATCTTCCTTTATCTAGTTTGTGACCAAGAATACACATTTATCTTATTTCATGCTAGGATCTCATGGTCAATGTGTCCTAAGCCCCCAGCTTCTTACCACTTCAAAAAATGACTACAGATCAGCCTGAGTTTTCAGTGATCAGCTGAATTCAGTGATTCTGTCTTGTTATATAAAACTGGTTCTATCTATGACCCTTATATATTGATTATGACTTATGTGTATTAATGTAGTTCTTCCTTTCCGCATGACATCAGCTGAACTGATGTTTAGAGACCTTAACATTATCTGCTTCTTTCTTGACTCTGACACAGAGCTGATTCTTATAGAGGCCAAGTATCCTATCCTGTATTATGGTCCAAGGTCATGCTGTACTTTAACCAGTAAATGGAATTTATTTATATATAAAACAACAACAACAACATGCCATTTCTTGATTACACACAAATGTTTGAAATACCTGGAAAAGACTTAATTTGTCAATATAAGTAGTTTTTCACATATTTTTCAAAACTACCAGCTCTTGCTAAGATTTTCTTATCTAAAGTACCATAAATTCAGTATTAGGGAACTTCAAATATTATAGGATGATAAAAAAGACATCCTTAGCTTGTAGTCAGTTCTGTGTTGGTTAGAGTGTCAATATATTATACTTTGTCCAAATTGCCTCCCAGAAAACAAGGGTAATGTTGGAAAATAAGAAGACTCATTAGAATACCAGATACTGAAGATACTTCTGATTCTTAATTTTTTTCCAAAATTAGCTCCTTTCTTTTCCTTGTGTTCCTCAGACACTACTCTTTTGAACCAGAGAGAGATTAGTCTGGACAAAACTTAATAATCCTGCCCTTGGAGACACTCTTTAGTTCTTAATGGAGTCCAGAGACACACGGCTTTCTTGTCTAATCTCTGCTGAATGACATTTGGAAGCATATTTCTGCCACCACAAAAGGGGCACAGTTTTCTCAGGTATGTAGTCATTTAACATTAATAATATTTTATTATTTCCCCAACTATAAGGGAAAACAAAGCAAAAGAGCCCCCCCATCCCATAATAACAGGATTGTCAATGTTATTTGTTATTTTAATAATTAAGAAGCATTTAATAGAAAATAGCAATTTGTTTACAATACATTTTACACTATCATAGAACACAAAATTGCTCTTTGAAACTTAAAGCAAAGCAAATGTAGGTATAACTTTTAAATATAAATATAATTTGAGTTAAATGAGTCTTCATTTCATAGAATAATCTAAGTGAAAGTGACCGTAGATTTTGGAATTGTCATAAGAGTACATATATCATGTTGCCTGGTACTGAATCACAAGTATGGAAGCAAACCATGAAGAAAAGTATAATGATTTGTTCACTGTTTAATCAGCCTAACTTTGCTCATAAATCTATCAAAATCCATGTTCAGCTGTTTGTTTAAAATGATAAAGTTTGGATTATCATGGAATCACTAGGCATATCCACAAACAATCTGAAGACAGCCTCAGTTTTTGAAATACAATATCACAAGTCAATTCCTATGGAACCTATACCAGACTTTTCACATACTAAACTTCACAGAGGATAGCGTGGCCTATACCTCATATCAACCACTTAAGATTTAATTATCAGTTAGGCTTTAGTGGTTCTAAAATTAAACATTTAATATGAATGATCAGATTATACTTTAAAAATATTAATTTTACTTATAAATCATCTCCTTAGCTAAAGCTATTGTCTTATTGTATGATGGTTATAAATTAATACATAAAAAATACTATAAAAAAATTAATGGTCCCATTACATCCTCAGTAGTCTAGGCAGGAAAAGACACACACACAACACTCACACCTCTTTTTGCATTAAAAATAATAATAAAAAAGAACCAAAAGCCCTATTACATAGTTTCACACATAATTATTTTTAGTTGAGTGAACTATAGTGATAATGGACAGATTCTAATATCATCATCTCCCTGCTACTCACAGGGCTCTGTAAATAGCGGATGAATTTAGGAAGAAATCATTTTTTTTAATTCCTAAAATTCGCTTTAACTTGAGAGTTAAGGCCGATTAGTCTGAGCCTAGGACAGGATGCATATTATAATCTTGGCTCTGCTCTAGTTTTGTTGAGCTACTTTCATTTCTCTGCCTCAGGTCCCTCACCTTTGAGAAAGGGCTAGTTATACTGACCTATGTCACATAGCTGCTATGTAAAGCAACATTGATTAAAGTCAAGTGTACACCCAGCAGACTAATATTTTAGGAAAGAATTTAATGATACATATGAGATCATTTTTTAAAATATGAGGCCCTCCTCTGCCCTATTAAACACATCAATATGGTATCATGTGCTGTTAGCATGGCATATCATAAGAAGAGAATGCTTCTGTATTCAAGTTTGTCACTTACTGCATGTGGGACCTTGGGTAAGTCACTCTCCCAGGGCCTCCATTTTTTCATCTGTAAAATGAACTAGATAACCTCTCAGGTCCCTTCCAGCTCTAAAACCTATTATCCTTATAGTAGACTATTAATGGACCATATTCAATAATTTCACAACCATTTCCCCCTTCAACATCCTTGTTAATATCTTGGGGAGGAAATAACATGAAGATGGTGGGGGGGAATTTGGGTTAAAAAATACAGAACAATTTGTAATCGTGAAGTAGGCTAAGAAGTCTTTGGCAAATTTTAAGGCAAAGTTAAGAAGAATAACCCAATAGGAATGAAAGTCAGAGGACCTTAGATCTGCTACTGATTGACTAGAGGGTGCAAAATGGTGCATACTTACTAAATTTCAGAATAATAGAATTATGGAGACAGCCCTTGGAACTCAAAGGGAATTAGAATCAAAGGGAATTAGAATTAAAGGAAGACTACTTTACACAGTGGATAGCTAACTTTGTGATTCAGTACCCTAACAGGTTGTACAGTTAGAAGATGAAAATATATTCAAGTAATGCAATAGAATTCAAGAATCATGGATCCATAGTAGGCTATGGGAAAACTGTGATGTTTGGGAAGTCCCTAACCTTTTGGTATTAAGGAAAGTAGCTACCATGCTTACTTCTTAAATATCTCTTGGTGCCATGACAAGAAACAAAATTTTTACTTCTATTGGTCTGATGTCTAATACTTACGTTCTTATATTTTCTCATACGTTCTTATGCCTTTGTGTCCTTGAATAAGTTATTTAACATTTCTGTGCTTCAATTCCCCCAAATCAGGGATCACCTTGACTCTTTTATTTAAAAAAAAGATCCCTATTTAATATTACTGTTTTCATAAAAATAGTTGTTATTTAGCATCAGGGGTTTCCACTTCTGGGGAAAAAAGCTTTTATTTACTTAGTCAAATTTTGTAGGGTTTTGAGAAGTATGTGTGATCCTACAATTGCATAATGATTTTTGCCATTTTGAGGGATAGCAAGAGAAAAAGCACATCTATAGGAATATGTATCTGGGAGACATCTGTATATTCTCTCTTCTCTCTCCATTTTCGAACAGACGCCACCCCCGACTGGACATACATACACAATCTGTAATAAGGACTCACCACTACTAGAAGCATCATTCAGATTTAGCAGTCCTCCTCCTAACCCTCTGTAACTATGGTAACTGTAGGTCCCGTTTCCATTGATATACAACACCTCCTGTGTGCTAGAAACAGCTGATGTTGAATAAGTGACCTGGGCCGCCTCTTGTTTATACTGTTTGTCAGCTGAAGCAGACTCGTCCTGAAAAGACAATGTTTCATTATAGGGTGTCAAATCATTGTTATATTTTTCTTGGAACAGGACTTTTCTTATTGTTATCTACATTTCTGCAAGTGTTGCTATTGGGAAGGAAAAAAGGGTATATTCAACCTGAATTCTTGTTTTTGAATGGCCTCCTGCTAGAGAGCCAACAATGTGAAAGATCTATCTGAGAATGGTGACACAGCACTTTATTCCTTCCAGACAGACTTAAAATAACAATAAAAGGAAAAGACAAAAGAACAGTTCTTTCAAATCATCTCTTGAAGTCTTTTTAAAGTGTTGCATTACTACTTGGAGAATTGGCTACAAATCTTTTTGCCCCAGAGACCCTGTCAAGTCCTAGAGAAAACAAAATGACAAAATTGGCAATAAACTTGACATCATTTCTGATCGAGAAACTTAGACTGAGTGAATTTTCCGAATTGCCATGGAAATGCAAAAGGCCCTAATCTATAGGGCATATCTGACTTTATTTGACTCCTGTATGTGGTAGCTTTTTTGCTTCTAACTTGCTTTATGACTGCAGAGACAATATAAAACAAATCACTGGTGAATTCTGATGAGCTTTTTTAGTCATAATCTGAAGAATTTTGCAGCCCATTAACTTTATGGCAAATGTTTAACAGAACAAGCAACTTTAAAACTCATTTTTGTGCCCCCAAATGCTTAGAGAGTAAACATGAAATAATGCAGCTTTGTGAATGCAGAGATACTTGTCACATCAGGAATGACCCCCAATCTTTCACAGGACAAAAGTAGATCCATAGTACATAGTACTGTAGAATTCTGATTGTACTGTTCCTTGATTCTGACCTGTGAAAGAAAGATTATTTCCAGTCTGTCTCTATTACTCTCACCCTGAGATGTCTACCTGGGAACCCAGAGTTGTGGTTGAAGTGAGACACTTTTTAAGTGTACCAAAATGAGATTCTGAAATTAAAAAGGGAAATAGTTCAAAGGCAAATAAATTGCAAAAATGGTTAACTGATAGGATTCAGTCCTTGGCCTTTGAGTTCCATAAAACTGAATTCTCTTCTTAAGGGTTTTAACTTGGAGTCAAAAAGATGGCCAGCTATTAGATTTCAAGGAGTCTATGAATTTGGATTGGACAAAATTACATCCTTATTCTCACAAATTTCTAACTGAAATTTGGCATTTCCTTCAATTATGAATATAGGCGATAAATATTGTTTTGAAATGGGGTCCATAGGTTTCAGCAGACGGCCAACAAGGACCATGACAAAAAAATTAAGATTCCTTGGTTTTGGGGAAGAACGCTTTTAACTGGCAAGGGGAACAGCATGCTCTGAACAAGGAATCCGGGCATCACTGCCTAACAACTCTCAATATTATTATTAGAGGTAGCTGGTAGTACAGTGGATAGAGTGTTGTGCCTAGAATCAGGAAGACCCGAGTTCAAATCCAGCTTCAGATACTTCCTAGCTGTGTGACCCTGCGCAAATCACTTAACCCTTGTTTGTTCCAGTTTCCTCAATTAAAAAATGAGGATATAATAGCACCCAGGGTTGTTATGAGGATCAAATGAGATAATGTTTGTAAAAGTGTTTAGCACAGTGCTTGGCACAGCGTAGGTGCTATAAAAATGCTTATTCCTTTCCTCATCCAGTGTTGAGATTAGATCTTTAATGGAGAACTCAAGCTCTATTTTAGTTCCCAGTTCCAAGGTAGTTCCCAGTTACCATATCTCTGTTGAGGTAGCCTTGAGATTTTCATTGTCTAAAGAAAATGCAGAGTGGCACAGAGGATAGAGAGCCAGAGCTGGAAACAAGGGCTCTTTGTTCAAGTCTTAGCTCTGATACTTAATGGTTGTCTGTTCATGGTCAAATCACTCTATTTTACTAAGCCTTATTTTTCTTATCTTTCAAAACTGGTATCATCATAAACCTTACATCACAGAGTTGTTATGGGGAAAGTGTTTTATAAATGGAGAGAACATTAAACTTGGGAGTCAGTACATTAGTTCATGTCCTGATTCTTCCTATTTTGATGACCCTAAGTAAGTCAGCTGACCTCTATGTTCCTGTTTCTTTAAAATGAGAGGGTTAGGCTCCATGGCCTCTAATATCTCTTCCAAATCTATAATTCTCTGATTCATTGAATTTAATGGGGCAGATCAGAGGCTCTATTTGAAAAAAATATGTTTCTGTTAGAAATAAGGAGACACGTGATGCATACTCTACATTTCATTTCCTTGATGTGCTATGCTCTTATTGATGGTAGAGAGAGTGGTGCAATCTAAGGAGCTGCACAATTATGTTCCTGGGAGTGCTGAGTTCCTGGTTAGATTTCCTATGGTAAATAGACCTGAGTTGAGGATTCAGACTGAAAGCAGTTCAATTTTAAAACCAGTGAAAACTGCTACAGCTGGCATGAACGACACAGAAACGCAGCATCCGCTGGCAGCTATAATCAACTGGATTATAAATGATAGCTTTACCTGCCATGATGGCAATAAACCTGGCCAACCAGATGGGCTGCTACCCCATATGTCACCTGACACAATAGCTTAATGTCAATTTCTAGAATCAAATACTGGAAGAGAGTATGGGGAAGATGTTGACAGGCCTTCCTCACTTTATTCTGCTCCTCTGTGAAGCTGTTTTGGACTATTTTCACAATAAAAGAGATATCCACAGAGGACCAGCTCGGTCCATGCATATGATCTCCATTTCCTATGCCACTACAGCCAAGTAGCCAATGAGCCCTTGAAGAGAAATCTGAGTGGGACGCATTTCAAAGCAATTCTAAGGTCAAAAAGGACTGCTCATGAACAACATCTTCATCTTTGAGGGTAGGCCTACAGCTATAAGATCTTTTTAAACAATGACCATTTATGATAGGGAACTGTCTACTCTCTGGAAATACATCAGAACCATTTCTTTTGGTTGGGAAAAGAAAGCAAGTCATACTCATAAAATGTATTCACTGGAGGAATGTCTACCTAATGAGTTAAAATGTAGGCTGGATTTTCACCAGTAAACATTCTCTTGAATTCTTTGTATAGCAGAATTAATCTCTGATATTAAGTTTGTTATGATTTTTTTTTGAGATTTGCCTGTGGCCTTTTATTATTAAGTATTGCTCCAAACACAACAGTAACAACACTGAACAGTCAGATAATTAATATCATTAATAACCAAAACAGGCCTTGTAGGCATTCATTTGCATTCAAACACAGATTTGCATTATTGATGTTACTGGAAGCAGTTAAAGTCCACTATATGTTCCATTATACACCATATGAAAATTCTAACAAAGAAAGAAGCTGTCATGTCCCTTAGCCAGAGCTTTAATATAAATTTAATTTATTTTTATCTTAGAAGATCATTATTACCAGTTACAGAGGAGAATCACTTTTTTCTCCTTTAATGACAGAAAAAAAATTAATATCCCTTGGAGTAAAGTTTTAGCTTGGCCAGCAAGTTTCAACAATCATTAGTTTTCAATGTTCCCTGACCTGATATATTTGTTTCTTGAATTGGTGTGAAGATTATTTTCAAAAGAGGTTGACATTGTAACTTATGGATACAAACTTCAAGGCTCACCAGTGCAGTGACTTTTCATTTATCTGAACAGAACACACACACACACACACACACACACAACATGAACCCCTATCTCTTTCTGATTCAATTTTTGTACCATGAAAAATAAAGAGTAGTCATAAAAAAGACAAAAATATGAATGATGCTGGCCACCAAGACACAATCAACTGGAAAACACACTGAATGTTTCTGTTTAGAAGGATCATTGACTAAAAAAGACATGACAGACTAAATAAACTTAAGGTGACTTCTATAGTTATGTTTTAGATGAACTGCTCAATACCATTTTGGGATATGTCAAAGGAAAAAAAGTGTCTCCTATTAAAGCACGCGTGAAGAAGTATAATAGCATGGGTGATTCTTTATAGCAGGGGTCTGGCTGAGAATGGGTTGGGTTGGTCCAGGATACTCCGCTGCTCTCACTGTTCTCTACTCAGCTAAGAGGCAGTGCCCAGAGGGGGAGTAAATTGGCTTGGTAGTCCAGCTTTGGCTCCCAAGCCGCATATTGTCATTTTCTATATTATAATACATTCCTCAGAAATCTCCAAAGAAGCAGTGTTATACAGAAAAGAATCTCATTCACTCCATTCTGACCTTTCAAGAAATGTTTTTTCTTGTTTCTGTTTTTAAATCAAAGTATGACAAATATTCCACAAGTATTGCCTCTTGATAACGTTAGCTGCTTCATCACTCATTTATCTTCTATTTCATCTTTTACTATAGTGTTTAGCACATTGCACATAGTAAGGACTCAATAAATGCTCCCTCCCTCTCTTTCTCCCTCCCTCCTTCCTTCATTCCTTCCTCTCTTCCTCCCTCCCTCCTTCCTTTCTTCTTTCTGTCCTTCTTCTTATATGTTCTTCATCTCGTCATTAATTTCATTCTACCTACAAAGAACAATGAAAAACTGCAAGTTCTATATCAAAGCACAAACATATTTCATATCTTCACTGCACTGTCTTTATGAGTCTAAACTTGGGTAGGTTTGGAGTGGAGTCATTTACAATATAAACTTCCATATACCGTTATGGAGACATATGATTGCTATTTTAAAATCATAATTTGACCCAATCCCTGGAACCTAAGTAAGGAAACAAAGTACATTTATATTGTGATTTACTAGTATAAGGCATTTCACATATCTTATATTATTGATCTTGATAAGCATCTGGTGAGGTAAGTGGTATAAATATTACTATCTTCATTTTACAGATGAGGAAACTGAGGCTCCAAGAAATTGTGATTTGCCAAAAATTACACAGTTTGTACATGCAGAGTCAGGACTCAAATCTAGCTCCTCTGACTCCTCAGGGCTTTTTCTACATATTAGCACTGTTCCTATTGGATAGGTGTGGTGATTAACTGTGGAAGACAAGAAGACTACTGGGCAACCAAAACACTAAATGGATATCT